GGAGGGGTGGGGACATACGGCAGAGTGGTGTGGGGCGGCCCGAGGGGATGGGAGAGGGTCCGGCCCACGCTGCGCCTGGGCTGGGACTGGTCCCGCCGGCGCAGGGTAGCAGGAAGCTCTCCACACACTCACCGGACCTGGGCTAAGACTCAAGCCACATTTTTTTAATTCAATAAATTTATGGATTGAAATGTTAGGGCATCGCTCCTTCTCTCAGGAAGTGGAGTCTCTTTCTCTTAAATCTAGCTCCTCCACAACTTGTTTTGTCCAAGCAGACATAAGATAAAGTGGCATGTGCTGAGACTTGAAATTCCTTGAGCCCCGGGACTTATGCTCACTGGCTGATGGAAACCACTTTGAGCTGTGTTAGCTGCCACATGACAAGTGACACATACGTGACTCAAGCTGCAGGTCACAGCAAACTGAGTGCCAGAGCCATAGGCGAAACTCTTACACTTGCCAGAGGCAGCTGTGATTCCAGGCCCAAAACATCTGTCGAGAGTTCCTAGAAATTGAAACATTTTAAGGTTTCAAATGAAACCATAAAACTATAAGAAACAGTAAACATCACGTTTTAAACCATTACATTTTGGGATGTTCTGCTGCATAACAAAAGTAAACTAATGCAATCACCACTCATACCCAGGTCATCAAAGGCAGACTGTCAAATTTGAGTTCAGCCAAGGCAATATACAATGTCATGATTTGTCTTCCTGGATCCTTACCTCCTGATCAACCTTTCCTTCCTCTCTGCTTTTGTGTCCCACTGAGCTACCTTGGTCCTCTTGGGGACCCACGTACCCTAAGTCTGTTAGTGGTGGTTTGGCTGGGTGCTTGCATTCCTCAGATCCTGGCTGGTTTGAGGAAGCCTGGCCAAGAGCAAGTGCCACAAATGAGCAGGCCTGCACCTGCTTCATGCAGGAACTCGAACCTCTGAGGTGGCCTCATGGGAGACACTGAGGCAGGCCCCAGAGGGAAACTGAGAACTGGGGCCAGACCTCATATTGAGCATGTCACAAATATTATTTTACTGAAACCGCAGGACAAACAGAAGAAGCAGTTACGGATGGGAAGCTGAGACTCCCAGGGTGCCACAGGTGGTGTTGGGTTGCTCTGAAACTATAAGTTTGGGTTCTGAGAACCGGGACCTATGGATGGCACCCTATTTAGAAGAGGGTCTTTGCAGATTAAGTGAAGATGAGATTAGACCGGAGTAGGGTGGCCTTGATTCAAGGACTGATGTCCTCACAGAAAGAGGAAATTTGGACAGAGACACACATAGGGTGAGACAGCTATGATACTGACATAGGCCAGGAACCCCTAGAGGTTGCTGGAATACCTGGGAGCAGGCAGAGGCAGGGAGCAGGGAGCAGCCTCTCCTGGGAGCTCCAGGCCAGTGTGGGCCTGCAGGTCCCTGCCTCAGAGCTGAGGGAGGACACGTTTCTGTTCTTTTGAGCCTAACTTGATGGTCATTTGTCTCATAGCCCTGGAAACTAAGACAGAAGGGAAGTTCCTATAGTTTACATATTTTAAGAGATAAGAAATCTAGGGTGCAAGTGTAGCCTGGCAGGCTCTTTGCAGAGCAGATGACTTCCAGGTGGTCCCCTGTCCTGATGACACAGCCATGGCTGGCACAGCCTCAGCGTGGGAGCAGGCAGGGAGCTCAGCTCAGCACCCATCGTGGCAGCTGCAACTCAGCCCAGAGATGGAGCTGTGGAGTTACACACCTGGTGACAGTCACCTGCCAAAAGCAGGTGTCCCTGGATCTCACCCATGGCCACCACGAGAGCTAGTGGATGGTCAGTCACCCCAGATGCTTGGCATTTTCTTCTGTTCTGTGCTACTTGCCACAGCTATGGCAATTTGGAGTTTTTGCTACAAAGTGTTTTTAATAAAACCATTGGGAAATCAGCCCAGAATTCTTACTGCATGAGGTTCTGGTGCCAGGTCGTGCTGCCTGGCCCCTACTGGCTCCTGCAGTTCCTGTCCTCTTGATCCTGAGCAAAAACCAAATGTTCCTTGTTTTTACTATGTTCATGCCAGTCTGAAGTGCTGTGCCAAGAAGGAACGGGCACCACCTGCCTATTAGCATCTCCCAAGTGAGAGCACAGCTGGGTACAGCGGTGGGCACCGTGCACAGCAGCTGTATGCACACTGCGCGCACCACCCCTCCAGTGCGCATGCCCACAGGAGGGTCTCTGTTCCTCTCCAACAGTTTGCATTCTGATTTTAAGGCAAGCAACTCCAGACTCAACCTTATTCGTTCATCCAGTGAGTTTGGAGCTCTGAATCTGTCCCAGATATCAAGGTTACCCCTAGGGAGCTCGCAGTTCCGGGAATTCATTTTTTGTAGGATTTCCTTTTGCACAAACAACTCATCATCCCAGAGCTGGTGGCCCCATGTTCTGTAGGTCCATGACAGACACACTGCCCCGTGGTGGGCAGCTCTACAGCCAGCCAGCCACATGGAGCCAGTGCCCCTGGTAGAGTCACCTGGATGGTCTCTCTGCACTGATCCTGCCTTTGGCTGGTTCTGCTGTTCTAGGGTGAGGCACAGCCTGAAACCCGACACTGTCTGTGTGACGTATAGCAGCGTGTGTGCCTGCAGCTCACACGTGTGATTCTGTGATGTGTATGTGCATGTCTGTGTGTGTGTGGACATGGGTGTATACCTGTGTTGTGGGCAGTGTCAGCTGTTTACACTCATGGTTTCTGCTTTCATGTATCCAATCAAATTTGGGCCAAAAATATCGGAATAAAATTGTCTATCCTGAACACATAGACTTTTTGTGGTCTTTATTCCTTAAATGACAGCATCTAGCCCTTGTCTGCACAGCATTTACACTGTGTTAGGTACCGAAGTCACCTTGAGGTGATTCAGAGCAGCGGCTCCCTCATGTGTTTGGCACAAAAGTCTGGTTTCACGGAAGACAGTTTCCATGGATGGGAGTGGGTGTGGGTGGGAGATATTTGGGGTTGGATTCTTATAAGGAATACATGGCCTAGATCTTTCCCATGAGCAGTTCACAGTAGAGTTCATGGGTTGTTTTGGTTCTGTTTTTAAAGACAGAGTCTCACTGTGTAGTCCAAGCTGGCCTTGAATTTAGCATGTAGCTAAGGCTGGCCTTGAACTCACAGCGATCTTCCTGCCTCAGCCTCCTGAGTACCAAGGAGACAGCGCCATGGAGTGCAGGCGTGGTTTGGAGGAGACAGAGGTGGCTGAGAGAGGAAAGCTGTGCCAGAGAGCAGGGCACAGGCCTTTCCTGCTGGGCAACACCAAGGCTGGCACACTACCATTGGTACCTTGTTTTGGATGTCCTTTTGCTGAAGCCATTTGTGACAGCTTTAGTGGGATTCAAATGAAAAGCAAAAGCAAAATCAAGAAGTGGCATAAAATCCAGAGTCCCCATCTGTGTCAAGTTGGGTCCAAGAAGAGGTGGGAAATTTCACAGGCCCCAGACAAGTTCTCTCAGGAGAGGAAGCGACATTCTGGAACTCACCAGGAGAGATCTGGCCTGGGAGGGAAAGGTCCACGGAGCGCAGATGAGAGGATGACCTCCAAAGGTCAGCGCTTCTGAGCGGAGATGCCCTGGGGGTGGCCCATTCCTCCAGGGAGCAGGGATGGTGCCCAGGCCCTGGAGGAGGACAGCACCTCTCTGCTTTTTGTCAACTGAGAGACCAGAAGCCTGAACACAGGCAGAGTGTGTGACTGGTTTGTGACAAGCTGGGACTATCTGGAGGACACAGTGCCACCAGAGTGCCTCCAGTGCCTGTCTTCAAAACAAGTACGAAGGACAGAGCTTCTTGCCTCCCCTGCGAAGGTGTGGAGGGCTTAGACGTGGAGTCCTCACTGCCCTGAGAGTGATCATTCAGCCTTTTCTGTCCCCAAGGTCAGGTTTGTGACCCCACTGCCACACCTGGCCCACATGGCCTTATCAACCTGCCAGGGCCTGGTCCGCACACAGCACTGACGTCCCATCCACTCGTGAGCACACAATACACACTCACCCCCCCGGCACCATTCTGACACTTAAGGCAGGACCTACACGGACGTCTGCATCTCGTCACACTGACCTGTGTGTGAGGTCTGCATGGGGAGCCAAGCATCTTTGTCTGCAGGAAAACCCAACAGCAGCAGGAGGGGATACAAAATGCTACCGAGGAAAAAGTACAGTACCCACTTCTGTATAAGAATATATTATTTAAAAGATAGTTTAAAAATAAAAATTCTGTACAGCATCGTGAATTCCTTTTTTTTCCTTCTTGTAGCAGTGAACAAACAGTTCTTAGAAAATGTGGTCTTCTGGCGTTAGGTGCCCAGAGTGACTTTTCCTGGCCCGGAGGGTCACGTGAGGCTCTGCCAGCCCGTCCACGCCGTGGCCTACAGCTCTGCTGCTACTGCTGTTGCTGCTGCATCCAGCTTGGCCTGCTTGGCAAAGGAAAAAGCAAAGGTTTGTTTCCATGGGGACATAAATGTCCAGGATCACACACAGCAGTTTCAAAGGGCAGGGGTATCAGGCACAGTGCTGAACATGGGGAAGAACAGGATCCAGCATCACCCTGCTCCCGAGTTGCTGAAGAACCTGACCCAACTTAAAGACAAATGCCACATCCAGGGCCCGTGGCATAGAGCAGCACTCTGCTCCTCTCAGTCCTGAGAGCACAATGGGGGCCCAGTTTGGACTCAGGCTCAGAGAACTGGAGACGCTTGTGTCATGTGGCTCATCCTTGGCAAGGGTGGGACACAAAGTGAGGCGTGCTGGTGGCAGAGCCTGGCTGCTGCTCTGTCAAGCCGAGCCCTCCACTGGAACATGTTATGTACCAAGTTGCTCTCACATTCTGGGACAGACGTGGATGCGGTGTGATCCGTGGTGACCAACGACATGGGCTGCTTTACCTTCCACGATGAGTAAGAGGGTGGGATGGGAGACAGGGCTTAAAGCCTGAGATGTGACCCCTTTATTTCTGAAAAGATTAGAGTACTTCAACTGCACTTTTTTTTGAAGTGATAGTGGGAATTAAATGGAGGCAGTACTGAGCTCCATCTCCAGCTTTCCTCTATTATTTATTTATTTATTTACTTATTGCGGATTGATCTCGGGACCTTGCACTCACCAGGCAGGTGCTTATGCCCCTCAGCTATATCCCCTACCCTTACTTTTTATTTTATTTATTTATTTTTTTTGCGGTACCAGGGATTGAACTTAGGACTTTGCGCTTGCCAAGCAAGTGCTTATTCTACTGAGCTATCTCCCTGCCCCTACTTTTTTTCTTTTTGTGTGTAGTACTGCTAGGCAAGTGCTCCACCATAGAATTATAATCCTAGCCCTTCTGACTTTTTGAGAGAATCTCACTGAGTTGCCCAGGCTGGCCTCAAATTTGTGATTCTCTTGCCCCAGTCTTCTGAGTGGCTGGGATTACAGGTATGCACCACCATGCCTGGCTCAATTGCATTAAAAAGGAAAAACAGGATAGGCATGGTGACATATGCCTGTAATCTCAGCACTCAAGAGGCTGAGGCAGGAGGACCACTGTGAATTTCAGGCCATCCTGGGCTACACAGTGAGTTCAAAGCCAGCTTCTACTACTTCGTGAGACCCTGTCTTAAAAAAAAAATAGGTTGGGATTCAGCTCTGTGGCAGAGCACTTGTCTAGCATGGGATAAGCAGGGGTTCAGTGCCTAGAACCAGAAACAAAACAAAACATAACACACACAAAGACTTCCTTTTCTAAGTGGTGTAGTTTCTTTTTTTAACTTTCAGAAGTATATTCCCTTCTTTTGAGGGTTTATCCTAATTCCTACATACCAGGAACTCAGTTTTAGCTATGTGTTAATATTCTGTGTGCGCTGGTTTGATTATGGGTGTGTCCCCGAGGTGCATGTGCTGGAGTGAAATCCCACTGTGCAATATTAGGAGGGCTTAGATTTAATCCAAATCTGTAGGAAACTGGGATTAGCCAAGGGCCTGGGGTCCCTGTACTGAGTGACTGGCAGTGCTGCACAAAGAGGGGCCACCTGCCACACATCCTTGGCTCCCTCCTCACACAGTAGGGCCACCTGCCACACATCCTTGGCTCCCTCCTCACACACAGGTCTCTGTGTCCTCCCTTCTGCAGTCTACATTACCGTGTACGCCATGTGCACTGAGACATCAATTTGGAGACGGGCCATCTTCACTCATTCTCCCATCTCTGCTCTTCTCTTTAGATTTCCCACTGACCCCGGAGGTCAAGCTCTCGGTCTTCTTCTGTAACTAGGACAGAGAGAAGCAGACAGCATCAGTCCTGGGAGGTGTGGTAGGCATCGTGTGCCAGGATGGATACCCTGGACTTTTCAGGGACAGCCCTGGTGTGTGTGACCTAGCCTGTGACAGCAGCAGTCTACATGGCATAGGAGCTCAGCTGCCTGCAGCCTCCACAGCCACGAGGCACGGTCAGGAGGCACCTCACAGGTCTGGGCTTGTATCCCTTTGTGCGTCTACTGCATGGAAGTAGTACCAGGCAGAGTCCTGGTGTCCTCACTGGGCAGTGGGCACAGGACTTGGGGATGCAAGGCTTTCCTACCAGTGGCTCATGGGATGGCCTGGCAGCTGCAGGGTCACAGAAAGTAGAGAAGGCCTTTAGCCTTCCCTGGGGATTGACACCAGAGGAAACCCCCGTTTGGTCTGTTCCTCTATGTTTCTTAGTCTTTCATGATTTTACAGACCTCTCTGTGACCTTTTGGTGGGAAATGGAGCTTTTCAAAATCTTTCTTTCTTTGGAACAGGGTCTCGCTACGCAGCTCAGACCTATAGTGATCTTCCTGTTTTCAGCTTCCCCAGCACTAGGATTACAGGCGTGTGCCACCATGCCTGGTCTTGGTGGTCAGTTCAACATGCCCAGGGGCAGGGCCAGTGTGGCCTGTGGTGCTGGGGATCGAACCCCAGTCCTTGTGCTTGCCTAAGCAGGTGCTTAGTCCGCTGAGCTATCTCGCTGGCCCTCTGGTTGGAACTTTTAATTAATACAAGAGCATTTATGGAGCAGCTATGGTATGCCTGGCATTGTACACAGAGTGGCTAAGGCATGGTGCTGGGGACATCCAGGGCTTCCAGGTTCCTTGGCTGAAAATAGGTACTGCAGTGCACAGTCCCCAAGAAAGCCTTGACCCATGGGAGCATTGACAATGAGAAAGGAGGGCCTAGGGGACATCACAGGGTCCAGGCCAGGCTGGGAGGGTGCAGGACGTGAATGGAGATTTTTCAGGTTGAGATTTGACAGGGTCTCAGGTGCAGGGGCCCCTGGTGTAGAGACAGACACACAGGTTCTGATGGGTCTGAACCCAGCCAGGGATGTGAGGCAAGGCTGCAGGCTTCGTTTCCCGGATTACAGATGCGCTCCCTGCTGTGGATCCAGGGCCAGGCCCTGGGTTGACTCTGTTTTTACCTCTTTCATGGCATCATCCATCTGCTTCAGCTCCTCATAGTGATCTCGGGATTCCCACAGGGGCTGCAGCATGAGCTCCTCTACCACAGGAAAGAGCTGGGGAGACAGACAATGACCCTGGAGTCTTCTGGGGACGTCAGGGTAATTAGGTCGGGTGAGGCCACCTGATAGGTCTCGAGGTGTGGGGACCTGTGCGTGCAGCCTCCATCCTCCCTTCCCTCCTCATGATAACCTCCCCAGGCCATTTGCTTCCCCGCCTGCCATGAGGATAGCAGCCACATGACTGGTGACCCTGGGGACAGGAAGGGTGGAGCAGCTTGAAGAGACATCAGAAGGAGCCGCAGGGGTGCATGAGATGGATCGGTTCAGACACAGGGCAACTCAAGATGGGGGTCTTGGGCAAGTGGCAACGGGTGCTGGACGCTGGATGCGGTGGACAGGAAGGTGATCTGGGCAGAGGGGGAGCTGCCACCAGGAACTGGGCATTTATAGCCTGAGGGAACCTGGTCTAGCTCAAAGGCTACAGGGACAGCTCTGCCCAAAGCATGGAGGAAGTGGCTCCCTGAAGCCATGACAGCCAATGACATGACCTCTGAGGGTTCTAGGTACCCACCTACATGTGTGCATGAGCAAGTATGTGTGTGTGCATTGCATGCACACGTGTGAAGTATGCAGGTGCATGCACATACCTGTGCTCACCCGAGCATCATTAGCATGAGGCGATGGTCACTCACCTTTGTCACTGTTTCAAACATCGGGATCAGGACAAACTTGATGAACCCAATTTGGGCTGTAGCTTTGGTCACTTTGTCTCGGTCCATGAATGGGGCCACAGGAAGGCCTTCTGACTTCTCACGGTCGCTCTGCAAGGAATGAAGGGGACAGGAGTGCTACAGATAGGAACACCGGGTGGCCAAGGAGAAATGGAACACTGCTGCTCTGAGACAACAAGCAGAACAAGCTGTTGGGAGGCGCACACCCCTGGGCCACTGTCAGCAGGAACGCATCTGCACCAGGCAAGTGCAGAGTCCCAGGGACCGAGGGCCGCGGGCAGGGTGTTTGTTAAAAGCACTACTGGGCTGCTACGATGGTTGTACTTCATGGCTTACTGTCCTTTGTCCCTTATGAAGCCACCCCACTGGAGCTGTCCTTGTGAGCTGACTGGCTGGGTTCACTCATCCCTAGGCTCCCTCCAGCCTCTGCAGTGCTTTCTTCTGGACACTTTCCTTATGAGCCTGTCCCCAGAGCTGCCCTACTTGTGCTGGTAGGTGGCACCTTTGTGACATCATGGAGGCTGGAGACAGCAGTGAACAGGGCTGGCTTTGTGAGGCTCCTACCTGCATAAAATACTCTTCCAGGAGACAGTCCACCCATGGCTCTGCCACCTCCAGGGGCCGCACCTCGTTGGAGATGTCACAGCACTTTATCAGGATCATCTTCAGCTGGAAGAAGGGACATCAGAATGAAGGCAGTGGGGACACAGGGTGAGGACGGAAGGAAGGGGGTGACAGTGGTGTGGGGCCACAGTGGCCCAGGGGCTTACCCCCACCCGCTGCACAGACACCCTGCTCATAGTGCAGCCCTTAAAGGCTGGGTTTTTGGCTCTCAGATTCCCCTGGGAACACGAGGGCCCTGGGGCCCACACAGGTTCTGTCAATACCAACTATCCAGTGTAGAAACAATGTCTTGGTTGTTGTGGGTGCAGGGAAAATAGAAGATGCTGTTAAGGTGCAGTGGTCACAAAGGGTGCTAGAAACCAGGTGTGATGGCACATACTTGAAACCCAGCACCCAGGGAGGCTGAGGCAGGAGGGTGGAGATGAATCCAACCCTGGGTAATTCAGTGACAGAGCCAAATCCTGTCTCAAAATTATATATATATATATATATATATATATATATATATATATATATATATATATATGAAGGGATGGCTCAGAGCAGATATAGCTCAGTGCAGATGCCTGAGTTCAATTCCAAGTAGTGCAAATCAATAAATACGCACACATGCATACAAAGGGGACTGAAGTGACCCACTCACTGGCTGGGGTGTAGCTCAGGGATACTGCTCTTGCCTAGCACCCATGAGGCCCAGGGTTTGCTCTCTTAGCATTCACTGAAAAGGGGTAACTCACTGAACTGGGGTGTGTGAGGACTCCCCTGAGGAATAATATGGTGTCTTTAGAAATACAGCAGAGTGGCTGGGAATGGAATGAAACATGTCTGTAATCTCAGCACCTGGGAGGCTGAGGCAGGAGGGCCTCTGAGTTTAGGGACAGCCTGGGCTACACAGTGAGTTCAAGGGCAGTCTCAACTACATAGTGAGACCTTGCCTTAAAAAAAAAAAAGGGTAGAGAAGGAAACCTGCATCTCAGTGTGGAGGGCAAGCAGCTTCAGCACCCCCGCACCACAAAATGGAGGGGGCACCCTCGCCCTGCCCTGCTGACCTCGTGCCCATCAGTGGAACCCTGGTTTTGGAGTTAGAACACTGTACATGCCCTTCTCTGCAGCACTCAGGGCCTTCTGTGCCCAGACTTGTCCTGCGGGCAGCCTCAGGGTAGCTTGGGTCCCTTCCTGCCAGCCTTCGTAGCCACAACATCCCACACGATGTCCCTTGTGCTGTCCTATGAGCAGGTGGCTTTGGTCCAAAACAGTGCGCCGAGGGCTTGGTGCTCTCCACTGTGTGAGGGTCCCTTGGGGGTCCCAGGAGGGGTCCCTGGAGGACAAAGGATGCCTGACTGTTTTCCATCTCAGGGAAAAGCTCTCCCCTGAGGCCCTGGCTGGGGAGGCATGTCCTCCCGCTGCTCACTGTCAGACATGAGCACGCTCCCCCGGAAGGCCTGGGTGCTCCTTTAGCCAAAGGTGTGGTGACCCTGAAGGCTCGCCCTGGGAGACGGCTAGCTCAGCCCCACTGAGCAGGATGTCCCAGTTGATCAGCTTTGCTGGTGGTGCACAGGGATGATACTGGTTTTAAGCAATTAGTTTTATTTTGCTTTATTTATTTGATATAGGGTCTCGTTATGCAGTTTGGACTCATAGTAATTCTTCTGTCTCAGCCTCCCCAGCACTGGGATCACAGGTATGTGCCACCGTACCTGGTCTGTTTTATTGTTTATTTATTTATTATAATTTCTTTTTTAAAAATGTATTTGCTTGTTACAGGGTCTCACTGCAAAGCTCAGACTCATAGTGATCCTCTTGTTTTTTAGCCTCCTCAGTGCTGGGATTACAGGTGTGTGCCACTATGCCTGGACTCTGTGGCCAGCTCAGCGTAGCATGTGGTGCTGGGGATTGAACTGTGGTCCCTGCACTTGCCTAAGTAGGCACTTCAGTCTGCTGAGCTATCTCACCGGCCTATTATTTATGATTATGATTTTTTGTGTGTTTTTTGAGACAGGGTCTCATTATGTAGTTGAGGCTGACCTTGAACTCACTATGTAACCCAGGCTGGCCTGTAACTCACAGTGATCCTCCTATTTCAGCTTCCCAAGTGCTGGGATTAAGCAGTTACTTTTAAAGTATTGTTTGCCCTTAGACAAGATGCAGCGCAACTAGCTTCTTCTCTGAGCCTGGTGAAAGGAAACACTCATGCATTCTGCTCTTTACAAAGGGCCAGCCCTCAGCATACCTGCCTGGGAAAATACTGCCCTCAGTCACAGAGGAAGGCGACCCTGCCAACTGCTGGCCTGTGGGAGTTGTGGCCCTCAAAGGTGGATTCTGGGTGCATCATTCCAGGCCCAGGCTGCAGACTCTGGATCCTGGGTTTCTAGTCTGAGCTGGTGCTCAGACCTCACCCTGGGGCCCCAGCAGCCCACTTACCAGGGTCATATGCTCATCATTGCTGTAGTCAAAATTCTCCATTTTCTCCTTAAAAGAGTCCATTATTTCTGCATGCCTCGCCATGTCCGTGGCCAGTATTAACGTGATCATTCCCTGCATCAGGAGAGAACAAAGCCTTAACAGGGCAGGCAGACTCTACCAACCTCCCACGGTGTGGGCAGGACCTGGACTCCGCATGCGTGATCCCGTGGCAACCCCATGCACGAGTCCAACTTCTGTGTGTCAGAATGCAGCAGGGGAACCTGCCCACACCACAGCCATTGTGGCTGCTGTCCCCCTGTGCCAGGGACCTTGCAACCCACCCACAGGCCTGTGAGATGACCGACTTGCAGACTGCAGACTTACAGGTTACCTGACGGGTCACTGTGCTTATGGAGGAATACAGCAGACCTCAGCCAAGTGCAAATGATTCCCTGAGACCTAGTTGCCTAGCTACACAGTCCGCTCCTTCCATGCCTTGTTGCTGGATGTCAGGAATAACTTTTCCAGAAGTATTTTTTCTCTTATCTACTCTATATGTGTGTGTATGGCTTGGGTGTGATCAGAGTCAGGGTACATTTAATGATGTCCTTATTAACACATGTATAAAGGAGAATATAAGTAGTTTTAAAATACAAATATTTTATTGCTGCTGTGGTTTGAATGTGCCCTTGTGGAAATGTGGTCTCCAATCTAACTGCAGCAAAATGGTTGGAACTCTCAGGAGTGTTTGGGCCTGGTCCCTGTGAGGGATGAATGTCACTCTTAGAGCACTGGTTCACCCTCCAGAGAGCGAGCAAGGTCTCATGTGAACTTGCCTTTTAACCTCTGCTATGGTATTATTCATCATCCATCCATCTAATCCACCTGGCCATCATCCATCCAGCCATCCATCCAGCCATCCTCATCTTCACCCATCCATCCCCTGTCTACCTGACCATCTTCATCCATCCATCTACCATAACCTACCCATCCAGCTATCCTCATCCATCCATCGATCCATCGATCCATCCATCCACCCATCCATCCATCCATCCACCCATCCATCCACCCACCCATCCCCATCCTCATCCATCCATCCTCTATCCATCTGGCTATCTTTATCCATCCATCAACCATAACCTACCCATCCAGCTACCCTCATCCATCCATCCATCCATCCATCCATCCATCCGTCCATCCATATATCCATCCATCCATCCATCCATCCATCCATCCATCCATCCATATATCCATCCATCCATCCATCCATCCATCCATCCATCCATCCATCCATCCCTCCCACTCATGCTTAGAGAGCACCTCTGTGCTAGGTATGATTCTCGGCTTTTGCGAGAAAAGAAATACACACACACACCAAAAAAAGAAAAGAAACACAAAAACCAGGGCAGTCAACACAGGGAATATCAAATATATGTATTTTTGGTGGTACTGCTTGTGTTTTGAATTATGCAGTTTTTCTATAAACATTGGATTCTGTCATTAATGAAGGACTTAGTTATCTTCAAAATCTTCAATGACAAAATACTTCTTAAAATTTGGGACAACTTTTACCTTCAGAAGAATCTTATGTTTGTGGCAGGGGAATGGAAGGCAGGGCCTTGGGCATGCTGGACAATTGCTCTGCCACTGAGATGCAACCCCAGCTCATTTTATATTTTGAGACAGGTTCTTGCTAAATTGCCTGGGCTGGGCCTGCACTTGTTATTCTCCTGCCACGGCCTTCTGAGCAGCTCAGATCACAAGTGTGCACCACCATGCCCAGATAAGAAAGTCTTATTTGAAAAGCAGTGAAGTCTGGAAGCAGGACAGCCCTTGTAAGTGCATACAGCCACATGAAGAAGAGTAGAGGCTGGCTGCGCCTCCTCTTTTGGGGTGCTGTCTTTTGGGGTAAGTCATACACAGTGGCTGGCCCAGTCCTACTCCTGAGGGGCTCCGCACAGGCAGTGCTGGGAGGCTGTGTGGGAATCTCTCTTCATGGCTACCCCACTACCCACTCCAGAGGGAGGCTGGCTACAGCTCATCATAACTGATCAGCACAGCAGTGCAGCGCTTGTGCTCAGGGTGGTCTGCAAACACAGAAGAGAGGGCGGAAAGCCTGTGGGGTAGAAGCAGGAAGTACCAGGAATTGGTGACTCAATAATGACTATAATTGACAATGCAGTTGGCTTAGACCATCCCAGACACAGACATAGCGGAACCACGGCCTATCAGGTGCTGCTCTCTGAGACAGCAAAGCTTATCAATTCTCAGGAGAGATGCTGTTTTCCCATGCATATCACTGCATGGGGAGGAAGCCATCAGGGACTCAGAGCAGGTGAGATCCCCATGGGGAGGTGCAAACACTCCTCAGGGAAACTGGAGTCCTCCCCACAGGAGTGCCCCTCTGGGTTCTGCAGGCCAGAAGTGCAAGATCAGGGCTAGCAGGCCCTGACATCCCAAGTCTCCAGGGATGGGTCCTTCCTGGCCTCTGCCAGCTCTGGTGGTCCTTGTTATTTGCTTAGGGCCCACATAGGGTCCTGAGACCTAGAGGTCCTAGGTTAGAACACTTGAAGGGCCTTGGCCATGGAAGGCCACAGTCACATGTTCTGGAAGTTGGCTCCCATCCAACCCATTCCAGTTCTCCTAGGATCATCATGTGATCCCTCTCCCTTGTGAGACTAGCAGTGGACAAGATTATGGGGCAGGTTGGTGGGGATGGGCAGGCCATGGGTGGCAGGTCATATAAGCTGAGACTCTAGGGCACTGGCTGCCTGTAACAGGTGTGTCTGTCAGAGCTTGCACCCTTGGATGCGAGACCCACCCTATCCAAGCCTGCTTCCTTGATTGCAGAATGGATACAAGCCTCATCTAAGAGGGAACTGGCTTCCCTGGCAAGTGCAAGGGACTGAGTTCAATCCCTGGTTCCACCAAAAAAAAAAAAAAAAAAAAGGAAACTGGGAAACTGGGTTAGGTAGCCAAGCTGTGTAGGCTGGTGGGATGTTGAGGTATGGCAGACTTCCCCACCTCACCCCACTCGTGGGGTCCCATGCTGGCCCGAGGGGGAGATGGAGCAGGAGGGCAGGTCCCAGGGTCCTTGCCGGGTTCTGTTGTGACCAGCAGACTCCAGCCACACTGGTAGTGAGATGTTGCCCTGTCTCTCCCGCCCCCCTCTGCGGTTAGAAGCCCACAACGTCACCTGTCGGATCTGCTTGAACTCCTCAGGTGGCACGTTGGCGAAAATGTTGCACTCAGGCCGGGCCAGGATCTGGAAGGCCACAGCACAGTGGTGGTTCTCCAGCGGTGAGATGTCGTTGTATCGCACAGCCAGCTCAGTGCGGGCATTAATCTGGTACCTGGGGTGTAAAGCAGGGGCTCAGGCCCCTGCACGGGCAGGAGCACCTGCATAGCCACGTGTGTGAGGAGTGGCTGCAGAGGCAAGAAGAGTGGGTGTGCCGCAGGGCTGGCGACCTGACGTTATGGGAGCCAGCTGCCCCAAGTGTTAAGTTGGACTGACAGATCCCACTTGAGCTCAGACTTGTGGGATGGAGCAAAGGGAATAGATGGGGCCGGGTTGATGCTGCCACCTGTGTAGTGTCATCTGGTGCCTCACCTGCGGATTGACTCTGGACTTGACCAGTGACATGGCTCTTAGCCATGGCTGATATTGCACACACAGATGTGCTGGAGAGGACTGAGGCATTACTGTGAACCCAGAACCAGGCCACCCATTGGAACCTGTGAGTTCCAAGGATAGCACACTGCTCCGACAGAAGCAGGAGGCCTCAGTGCAGCCCTGGCCTGCAGCCCTGCTGTGGATCAATCCCCACTACCTGCTCTCTCTGCCTCTTCCCTCAGAAGCTGGCAAGAAGTGCCATGGAGGACCATGCTGGTGCTCCCTGGGCTCTGCTTTGTGTCCACTAAGCCTGGAGCCACAATGACAAGGCAATGTGGCCACCCGCACAGTCTCATGGCCCTGAAGAACCCTGCTGCCCAACAGGGGAGGCCCAGGACAAAGGCCTCAGACAGAGTCAGAACCTGGGTGCTGTGTCCAGCAAAGGGGGAGCTGGGATCTGGGAGTCTTGGAGACAGCAGGAGTACAGGAGTACAGTAGGAGTACTGCAGGGATCCCTGCAGCTAGGGCACCTGCCAAAGAGAAGGGAGAGGAAGGAAGTGTGTACATACGTGTTGTTGTATCCTGGGTGATCCAGGTCATGGCAGACAGCCGCTGTCATCAGGACCAAGATGTCCATTTGGGAAAACTTCTCCTGGATCAAGGGACAGAGTTCATGTTTTGGCTCTCATGGGGAAGGACGATAGTGAGGTAGGGCTCGGCAGGTGGGAGACAGCAGCAAGGCAGGATGAGGCTGCCATCCCATCCCAGCCACCCAAAGACTTGGGGTAGGCTAAGTGGGTCAGGCCACAGTGTACTATTTTTGTAGTACTGGGGATTGAACCTAAGACCTCTGTACTAAGCTATACCCTCAGCCCTTTGTAAAACATGAGTCAAGGTCTTGCTAAGTTGCTACATTGCCTAGGTTGGGCTTGAAGTTGTAACTCTCCTGCCTCAGACTCCCAGCACATGCTACCACATCTACTTGTACCAGCTCTGTAGATAACCCTAGGAGCAGTCTCATGGAGTGAGTGGGGGCAGGTGGGACCCGCAGGCAGGGCTCCTGGTAGGACGGGTGTTGTCAGGGTATTCCCCTGCAGGACCTACCTGCAGGTTGCAGAGCCAGACCATGCTGTACATCATCTGGGCCACGCAGAAACAGTGCCGGAAGTTGTGGAAGGGGTTGTTTCTGTAGTTGTCATGCACGCAGAGCTGGAGTTCAGGAGGACAGGTGAGTCCCACCCTTCTGCTTGCCCTGCAGACTTCCCAGGACCACATCTGGACGATCCCAGCCTGCCCTCACAGATCCCAGGTCCAGAGCCCCGGGGTCTCCACAGGAGTGAACCAGGTGGCTTTGTACCCTGGAAAGTCCCACGGCATATGAGGGGTCCCCAAGGGGTGTGACAAGCTACATCAGGTCTCACGACATGAAGGAGTTAAGGGACTTCAATGCCAGGTTCTGAGCAATATGCTACTGTTAACAAAAAGATCTGCTAACCACACCCAAGCACACAGCACAAGCACCCATGCACAGATGTGTGCACACACGTGCTTCACTTGTCCATCTGAGTCCTGCTATATCACCACTGTCCTGGGTGCTCAAGGACCAGGCCAGTGAGAACAGGGAGAGGCCACATGTCCCTGGGAAGGAATGTCCCTCTGCAGGGCCTGCTCAGCGTTAGCATGGGGCAGTCCAGTGTCAGCTCTAGGCACTTACCAGCCAGCGCCTGAGTGTGATGGGGTTGATGCCGAAGTCACTGACCAGGCCCAGGTCGTGGTACATGTGCTCCAGGCAGCTCAGCATCTATGGGTGGGTGAGACATACCACATGGGCCGCTTGGTATCATGGCCAGGCCTGTCCCAGGAGGTAAGTACTAATCCTTAGAGCGAGGAACTGGTAGCCATCCAGAGAGCCACCAGAGTCCAAGATAGTGGCAGGCTCTGGGGACAAAAGGAACCTATCAGAGTCATGGAAATTCCATGCTTAGATTGCCATTAACCAGGCAAGGTGATCCTGTTCCCCTGAGATAGTCACAGTGAAAACTGTTTTATTGATCTCAACACAGGAAAAACAGTTCTAGCACATCTGCAAGTTGTTTTTCATGCCAGGCAAGTATTCTACCTGTGACCTACATCCCCAGCTCCCAGAGGACAGTTCACAGGCTGCAGACTCATGACCCTCAAACTGAGGAAGGCCCAGTACTCCCAAGAGGCAGGGATCGGGAGCCATAGCCACTTGCACCCGGACAACATGACACTGTGCTCCTTCCTCTCAGGCTCAGCTGGGACCTTCAGGACCTTTGTTTTTCTCCAACCTAGAGGGCTGTCCTCCTCTTTGACATTGGCTCCTCCCAAATCTTCTCTCAGAGACTCTCCCTGATTGAAGTTCGGCCCTGCAGTCACTGTGATCAATCTTGTGAATATGGCTCAGGGGTCAGGGATAAGCGACCGGGGAAGAACAGACAGCGTAGGAGAAACAATGTGTTGAGCCAGGGCGGGCTTGGCTTTTTGCACAGGTTGTAGGTGCTTAGTTAGCCCAGGGAGACAGGAAAACCACAGAACAGGTGAGTGGGATACCTGGGGCCATGTGGGCATACCCTGTACTGTCTTGTCCCATCCCTGCTGGAGCCCAGTGCACCACGCCCCCCCCCCCGACCCCCACCTCCTGCACTGTATGGCAAAGGCCACGCTACAGCTTGAACTGCGTTGTGGAAACCTCACAGTTCAGAGCCTCCAGCCCCGCTCTCTGGGACAGCAGATAACCCCATGTTGGAGAGCCAACATGTTTGCTGTGAAGTCAGAGTCAAAGGAGAAGACAACCATCTGGCACCTCACATGTGGGAAGCACAGCAGCTTTAGAGCAAGAGTGATGCACCTGTTTCCACAGTGGCAACCAGGAGCCCTGGTGGGTCAGTGGGTGCTTTGGTTGCTTGAGGACATCATGGAGGGTGCCAGGCCAGAGGGCTGGTGGCTGCGGTGGTGACTGTGGACTTGGGAGACAGGGCTCTCATGTGTGGCAGGGAGGCCATGCTTGTGGTCACAGCCTGGGGGTACCACGGGCACCACTGCAGAGTCAGGCAGTGTCTTCTGCCTGGGTTGGGTTGTAGGCTACCACTGTTGAAGGAGGGGAGCCAGGAAAACCGGGCCCTGGTGTTTCCTTGGCAGAGCTATCTCATGGTTGACTGGCACCTTGTCTCTGGCAGCAGGAGCCACCACATGGGTTGGGCCCACTGCCAGCTGTCCAGACACTGTATCCCAGAGGACAAGGATGCCAGCCCTGCTGGCATGCCTGAATCCTTTAGCCTGGGCACAGTGCCCTCTCCTGGACCCTCACCTAGAGTTCTCTCCTGTCCTGGAAAGGGAAGATATGGTGGCCAGGGTGCATTCATCCTCAGCCCCAGGTCTAAGCCACTGCTGGAGACACAAACCAAGTGACTCTGAACACCACACTCTCCTAGAGGACTCATCAGGGGTGGCACTAGCAAAAGTCTCTAGTCCTGGGTCCTGCACGGCCTCACATGCCTTGCCTGGATGTGCCCAACTCCAGGGGCCCAAGCCATCCCTTCCTTCACAATCCTCCCCCGGCTCCCTGTACCTCAGGATCACTGGCCACGGCCCCACTTCTTGGGTCTCTGTGCTGCTCCTTCAGAGTGGGTAGCATCCCAGGGCAGGCAACAAGGCACTGGGTGACAGTGGTGTGGAGGCTGGTCTTGCTTTCTTGGCCAGTGCTGCTGAGGTGCAGCCTGTGCCAGGCGACCACACAACAGAAGCAGTTTGCTCAGCAGAAACCCATGCTGCTGGACTGTGAGTTCCTAGCAGCGGGAGCCTCGTGTTGTGAGTTCTAATGGTGCAAAAATCTCATTTCCTGTGCTTGGCAGGCTTCACTGCTGTGACCTTGTCAGAGAGTGCGGGCAAGCGTGCAGATGTCCTGCCCTGCCGTACTACAGGAAAGCTGGAGAGGGCCCCAACTCTGGTGGGCTGAGAACAGCTGGGCCCGATGTCCACAATGACAGGGCTTTTGCTTCTGAGGGGTGTAGAATGGGATTTAGCCAATATTATCAATTAGGTTAAACCCCCAAATCTCCAGTTCTGGTTTTCTTAGCTGTCTCCTTGGCCCCCCTGAGCCTATCATGCTGTTGGTTTGCTCTAAAACCTGGAGGTTCAAGGATTTTTTTCCTTCAGAAGGAAGAACAGAAGCAGGAAGCATGGAGGAGGAGCAGGTTCAGTCCCCACTCACGTCTGCCCTTCCCAGGGACCCGGCACCTGAATGCCTGTACTCACCTCATTGGGCTCCCACAGCCAGACATCAAAGGTGGGCTTCCGGAGGGCTTCGATGGTCTCTGGAGACAGCAGGTACTGCAAGGAACAGGAGTCCTGTTACCCAGGACCCTGGGCTTTGTGTAGACAGAGGCAGTGACCTCAGAGTGCTTGGTGAACACTGTCATTATCCCCTCATGCCCCTGGGCAGACTTGAGGCTGCCTCCTCCACATGACAACTGCTGGGTGGAAACATCAGCAGGGGCCAGGAGTGGAATCTGCGGTGCACCTGATGACTTGAGGAGGGCGGGGACATTCTGTGTGTCTCCATTCTGCTGGGAGTTTCCTTTTCTTTTTCTTCCTTTCTTTTCTTTCTTTCTTTCTTTCTTTCTTTCTTTCTTTCTTTCTTTCTTTCTTTCTTTCTTTCTTTCTTTCTCTCTCTCTCTCTCTCTCTCTTT